CCCCAAAACCCCAAAACCCCAAAACCCCAATAATCCAAGTATATCTTTTTAGATACTTATGATATTTAAAATTAGAAATATATGCTGATAGATTTTGATTTTTAACAATAACATATTTAAATTCTTAAATTTAATTTTAAAATGAGAGCTTTTTGTCCAAATAGAAGCCAATCTAAAGTCCCCTTTTCTTAAAATAATGCTTATCACAGAAAAAGTAGAAGTGTTGGAACATCTAAGAGAAATCGAAGCTAAGGTCAAAGCATCAATATTCAGATCTAGAGATAGAAAGATAAGTTTTAAAATCAGAGTTGTGAGCTGAAGTCTATGATTAGAAAAACAGAATATTAGTAGAGATCCTTTTCTAGCAATATTAGACGAAAGCCTACAATTAACTTTGATTTTGACTTAATTGGCTTATTTGTTAACCCTCTTGTTAAAAATTTTGTCCTATAAGCTTGCTTCCTCAAGAATTTATAATCCCTAACATCAGAATAAGCTTAGTAATTGGCTGTACTTCTAACATTGTATAATCCTATTGTTTAAAATCTCTACGAATTTATGGATATAAAAGCAAGAGTACTAGGAGCTTTCATCAATGACTTAAAATACTATTAATTATCCCTTTCAGAGGAGATTGATGAGCTGAAAATATAAATATCTGTTGTTCAAGGTGTAATTAAGGAGAAGGAAAAGATCAAATAAGAGATAAGGAAAATAGAAGATGAATTTTACTTAGTTTTCGATTATTTTTTGTCTGCAGATAACTTAATAACACTGATAGACTATAATCAATTAAATTTCAACTTCAGAGACTACATCCATTTGAATGCTTAAAAGAAACATTTCAAGGAATGTTTAAAGATTGTTTCTGATCTTTACAAAAGTTATGAGCATCCATTATACTTTGAAAAAGAGAAAACTTGCAACAGGTATCTCAACAAAAAAATTGGGATGGAAATAGTAATCAGAGACTAGGTGACATTTAAAACTATTCCTGATTCAATGCTTATCAACAGTGAAACCTCAAATGACATCAAATACGTGGTGAAAGATCATAAGAATGGAAATTAATTTACAAAAAATATTTAGATTCTAAATGGTGAGAATAATCAAGAAGATTAAGATGATTAAAGTAAGATAATTAAATGAGTAGGCTCTTTATGATATATTAATATATTTAGTGTATAAAATCAACTGAAATTATTTTTCTAGAATTCTTTTAATTTCATTATGGCTACTTGTGGGGTTTTGGGGTTTTGGGG